TGAGGATTAAAAAAAAAAAAAGAAGGTGAGGAAGTATATGTATTTTAAAAAGATTTATATTTATTAGTAATGTCTCAAAATTGGAGTTTTATTTAAACATGCAAGCTCTAATCACATGGAAAATTCACATATGTGGAATATTTTTATAAGTAAATATAACTGAATTTCTAAAATTTCTCTTTAGGGAGAAATTTGTTCTTCCTGAACAATTAAGCTGGTACTATCTAGAAGCTTTAAGAATGTATGGCATAGCTTAATGTGATCATTAGCTTTCTGGCATCCTTTGGTTCCTAGAACCAAAAGTTGGAAGTAGAGACAATAGTTAAGAAGCCCAAATTGTAAAGACTGAAGTGTCATTGGGATATGAGTTCTTTGAGGAACACTATTGTTTGTCTTCTATGTACTAGCAGAAGTTGAGACACAGAAAAGGCGTGACAGGCTGAAAATTATAGGGGTTCTTGTGCTGTTGTACTAACGGCATGCCAACTAGTGTGGTACAACAGTTCCTGGGCAGAAATTATAAGAATGCCAAATTAAGCATAATGTAGAGACGTTATGAAACATGGTGGTAGATAAGAGATGGTTTTGAAGAAAGAGAGCATAACACCATTAAATTAACGCACAAACAGGGAACATTCATTCATTCATTCAAAAGATAGTGCTCAGGCCCTGCCAGTTTGGCTCAGCGGTTAGAGCGTCGGCCTGCGGTCCAGAGAGACCTGGGTTTGGTTCCCGCTAAGGGCATGTACTTCGGTTGCAGTTTGTCCCCGGCCCTGGTTGGTCGTGTGGGTGGCAGCCACTCGATGTGTCCCTTCACGTCGATGTTTCTCTCTCTCTATCCCTTCCTCTCTCTCCCTCCCACTCTATCTGTACAAAAAATGGAAAAATATCCTCGGGTGAGGATAAAAAGAAAGGAAAAAAAAATTAAAAAAAAAAAAAAGATAGTGCTCAGTACCAAATGCCTAATGGCATTATTCTGATGTTCAAAGGCACATCCTCAGAAGTACTGTCTTTGCTCAGGGCAAGAGTTTTGAAGGGGATCCCTACATTTATTCACCTGTTGTGCCCCTGCCCTTCACTCTGGCTCTGTGACCAGAACACATTCTATTTCCCAAATATAGCACAACTGTCTTTTATAACTCTTTCTGCATCTTTATTTATGCTCCTCTATTTGCTTAAAATGCCTCTTTTTTACTTATCACAAGTAACCATTGATCATTCTTTTATTTTTTTAATTTATTTATTTTTAATCTTTATTGTTGGATGTAAAATGTATTACAGATGTTCCACATTTTTCCCGCATTGACCCCCTCCTCCCCATTCCCCCCCCCTCCCACCTTTTCCCACACTGTTGTCTGTGTCCATTGGTTATGCATATAAGTTCTTTGGTTGATTTCTTCCCACCCCCCCAACCCCTTTCCCTTTGAGGTTTGTCAGTCTAGCAATGAATTTATACTTCTTTTTTTTTTTTTTTCCATTTTTTGTTCAGGTAGAGTGGGAGGGAGAGAGAGGAACAGAGAGAGAGAGAGAAACATCGATGTGAAAGGGACACATCGAGTGGCTGCCACCCGCACGACTGACCAGAGCTGGGGACAAACTGCAACCGAGGTACGCGCCCTTAGCGGGAACCGAACCCGGGTCTCTCAGGACCGCAGGCCGACGCTCTAACCGCTGAGCCAAACCGGCCAGGGCGAATTTATACTTCTTAATCTCTTCACCTTTTTCACCCATTCCCCCAACCCCCCTCCCAACTGGCATCCAACAAAATGTTCTCTGTATCTATGAGAATGTTTCTGTTTTACCCGTTCATTTTGTTTGTAGATTCCATTGTTGATAGATATGTATTCATTGTCATTTTGTTTGTTCATATATTTTATCTTCTTCTTCAAAAAGATCCTTCATTTCATATAATAACGGTTTGGTGGTGATGAACTCCTTTAACTTTTTCTTGTCTGGGAAACTCTTTATATGGCCATCGATTCTAAATGACAGCTTTGCAGGATAGAGTAATCTTGGTTGTAGGTTCTTGCTTTTCATCACTCTGAATATTTCTTGCCACTCCCTTCTGGCCTGCAAAGTTTCTTTTGAGAAATCAGCTGACAGCCTTATGGGAACTCCCTTGTAGGTAACTAGCTGCCTTTCTCTTGCTGCTTTTAAGATTCTCTCTTTGTCTTGAACCTTTTGCATTTTGATGATGACATGTCTTGGTGTGGGCCTCTTGGGGTTCATCTTATTTGGGACTCTCTGTGCTTCCTGGAGTTGTATGTCTGTTTCCTTCACCAAGTTAGGAAAGTTTTCTGCCATTATTGTTTCAAACAGGTTTTCGATTTCTTGTTCTCTCTCTTCTCCTTCGGGCACCCCCAAGATGCGAATGTTGGCACGCTTGAAGTTGTCCCAGAGGCTCCTTACACTATCCTCATTCTTTTGGATTCTTTTTACTTTTTGCTGTTCTAATTGGGCATTTTTTGCTTCCTTATATTCCAAATCGATGGTTTGCTCCTTGGATTTACGTACTCTATTATTGAAGCTGTGTAAATTATTCTTTATTTCAGTTAATGCCTCCCTCAATTCTAACTGTGTATTCATGATTTCTGACTGGTCCTTTTTTATGCTCTTGAGGCCCTCCCTAAGTTCACTGAGCCCCTCACTAAGTTCATTGAGCCACTTTATAAGCAGTATTTTGAACTCAGCATCTGTTAGGTTGCTTATCTCCATTTCGCTTAGTTCTTTTATTGAGGTTTTGTTGTGTTCTTTCATTTGGGACCTGTTTCTTTGTCTCCTCATTTTGGCTGCCTCCCTGTGTTTGTTTCAGTGTATTACTTAATGAGAGGTATGGGGCTCGCTGAGACCAGATGCTGCTCATTTGAAAGAATTTAGGAAAAACCTGAAGCAGGATCCAAGACAGGCCAATCCTATGGTTAAGCAAGTGGCAACAGCTTGGGTGGGCTTGAAAGTTGGGTGGGGCGGGGCCTCAGGGAGTCACCAGGGCGGGGCTACCAGTGTGAGCCAGGTTGCTGGAGTCCCAGATATGGAGACTATCTGCCGCTCCAGGGAAGGGCTCACCAAAGGAACAAAGGCCTCTGACAGGGCATCTGTCCTGGAGAAAGCCCCCTCTCCAGCCCTCGCTCCAGTGCCAAACAGCTCAGTTCTTCCCTGTATGTCTCTGGCGCCCCTCGAGCTGCCTCCCCTCCAAGCTTAGCGGGAGAGAGTCCGATAAGTCCGTGCGCGGGCCCTTTAGGGAGCTGCCTGGGGCTCCAGCCATTTCAGCCTCTCTGAGCCTCAGTTTCCGCTGGTTTTTCCAGCCAGAAGTTATGGGGATTCTCTTCCTGGCACTGGAACCCTGAGAGGGGCACCTGGTGTGGAACGGGGACCCCTCAGTCCTCAGGAAGGACCTTCCCAGCCGAGGTGTCCTCCTGATTTTTATCCGCCACACATGGGTGTGGGACCAGCCTGTCCCGTCCGCCCTCCTACCAGCCTCGATGTGGCTGCTGCTTTAATTCCGTAGTTGTAGGACTTCCATTCAGCTTGATTTCAGGCGGTTTTGAATGATGGTTGTTCTGTAGTTTAGTTGTAACTTTGATGTGGTTGTGGGAGGACGCGATATCGCATTACCTACGCTGCCATCCTGACCGGAAGTCCCTCTGATCATTCTTTAATACCTAATTCCAATGTCTCACATATATATGTATGTGTGTGTGTGTGTGTGTGTATAGTATGTATATGTATTGTAGCTGTTTATTTTTTATAAAGCAATAATTGCTGAGTTGGATATCTCTTCTCCTGCATTTCTATATTTCTTCATATATATATACTTGTGTTATAGCATTGTCTGGTAATGTATGTCTATATCTACATTCTAGTATCTCCAATATGCAGTGAGCCTTGATTCTGCCACACAATGTGCAAAAATGATAAGTGAGGATGTGCTGCTTGCATAACATACAACCAAAGAACAGAGTTTATATTTATTTTTAGTGTTTATGTGTTCAGAGTACTCATTGCTTAGCTCAGTCTTTCCCTTGGAAAAGCTGTTAAATCTGTAAGCTGTTAAATCTTGTCTATTTTTTTGTAAACCAAATTCTGCACTGTTAGGTTTGTTTATATTTTATTAAATAAATATTCAATGTAGAAAATATGTAGTATGTTCAAAATTCTTCATTAGCCATTAGGGAAACATAGATGAAAAGCTCCAATGGTTGTGTATTAAGCAAATGTAGAAACTGGACAAGCTAATGAGGATAGTGCTGGAGGAAAAAGCAGTATATGCCAAGGTAGAGAAACGTAGAGTACCATGGTGTGTTCAGGGAAACACAGTTACTTTAGTATTGTTGAAACATGTTGTATATAGAGTGAGAGGTATCAAAAGATCATTGAGAGAATAGTCATGCAAGATTATGTATGCCATACCATATAATAATTCTAGGATTATGTATAAGTTTTTTTTTTTTATTTCAGTGGGACTACATATTAATTTTAGGCTTTTGCGGTATTAATCTTAGGTTAGCAAGGAGATTTACTTCTCAACCATTGTAGATACTCTAGTAATTATGAATTATATACTATATTACCCTTTTCCTCATTCAGTGATCAGGATGCTTCATGTTCTTAATTTTATTGTTTTCATTCCTGTGAAGTAGATTGTGCAGAGATATTTTACTAATGGGAATATCTAAAGAGAGGGAGGATATAATGGCTTATCTTCTCAACTGCTCTTCTAGATCAGATTAATTTCTCAGACTAGAATTGTATACTCTAGCCATTAATTTAATTAACCTAAAAGATAGTTTTAAGGGCTTTCTTTATATTTTGTAAACTCCAACTAGACTAGACAGGGATATACCTTTGTACAAAACCACAATTTGAGGTTAATACCATAAATTATAATTTACTCAATGGCACCGTTGTGTGAATAAGACACTTGACTGTATTTCATAATATACAAATTATTATTTTGCAATATTAAATACTATTTTGAAATCTTTTTCTGCCTTTTTCTGTAGGGCTTCATATGTCCCCAGTGCATGAAATCTCTTGGATCTGCTGATGAACTTTTCAAACACTATGAGGCAGTTCATGATGCTGGTAATGATTCAGGTCATGGAGGAGAGGCTAATCTTGCTCTGAAGCGGTAGGTATAGTATAATAGTTTTGAAATGTAATGTTATGAATGTAGGTAATATCATTGCTTAATCATGAATAACTAGTTTGTGAAAAGAGCACTATTCTTATGTTTTTTAATTTAAATCTGTCCTCATTTAGAGTGGCATTCTCCTTTACTGTTATAACCTATTCTGTCCTTGACCAGCAGTTATCTATATCAGCATGTACAACATGGTCCAGAAGTTGTTTTTTAATGAAGACTGTGAATTATCAAAAGAAGGTTAAATTATATCTAGCATATTTTGTTTAATAAAGAATGATATGCTTTGTTTAGAAGATTTTAGAGTAAGTTGTTAAAATAATAAATTTAGTCAAGAATTAAAATTTAATAATTATTTCAAACAATTTCTTTTATAGCCCTAGCCGGTTTGGCTCAGCAGTTAGAGTGTCAGCTCATAGTCGTATGTTTGATTCCTGGTCAAGGGCACATACTTGGGTTGCAGGTTCAATCCCTGGCCCTCGTTGGGGTCATGTGGGAGGAAACCAACTGATGTGGCTTTCTCATATCGATGTTTCTCTCCCTCCCTTCCACTCTCTCTCTCTATATATATATCAGTGTTAAAATATCCTCAGGTGAGGATTAACAACAATAATAAAATTTTCTTTTATAATTACCAATATAACAGTAAGCACACATACACATTCTGCTTCTTGGCAATTTTGCCTATTTTAAGAATTATTTTTATGTGTGCGTTCATAATTTTGGGTACTTTTTTTGTCATTTGTTAGGAAATAGATATAAGATATGTACTTAAAGCACATTATAAACATTTTGTGTTTTTTTCTATCTTCCCCAGAGGATATGTTTTTAATGATTTTTAGAGGAGAGGAAAAGTGGGTGGGGGAGAGAGGGAGAAACATTGATCGTTGTCTCTTGCCTCGACGAGGTGTCACACCTGTAACCGAGGTATGTGCCCTGACTGGGAATCGAGCCTGCAGCCTTTTGGTGTATGGGACCATGCTCTAACCAGTGGAGCCACCCAGCCAGGGCCACGTTATAATGTTTTTATATTTAATATCAATTTAACAGAGTTGCTTTTTCAGCTATGACTTAGTGCCCAATATATGAACTTTCAACATAAAATTATTCACAGTTAATCCTTGTTTTTACTTTTTAACTTTTCTTCGATGTTTACTCATCAAGGCCTGGGTTCTGCTCTACCATTCTCCTGAAACTGCCCCTTCACAGGCCAAGAGTAACCTGGATTATTTTCCGTTCTTATTGTGTAGGTGCGATAACTTTTTCTTTACCTTCCTAGGTTCTTTCAGCTGGTCTAATAAATAAATCAATTTAACACGTATTAACAAAAGAAGATAACCAAATTTAATTATATACATACTTATGGGAACTCTATATACATGGGAGCGTTAGATACCCCACATACGTGAGAGGTACACAGAAAGGTAAAAATGAGGTATATATGACATTCTGAACTAAGAAATGAGATAAAAGTGCCTTAAGATTTAAGATGGGAGGAAGATTATTCCCAGGATAAGAAGAGCAGATGTTGAGTAATAAGAAGTTTGCCCTGCCTTAGGTCCTAAAAAATTTTTGGTGATAACTTTTACTCTTATTAGAGTCAAGGCCTCAACTTATTTATTTATTTATTTTTATTTTTTATTTGATTGATTTATTTTTTAAAATTTATTTTTGTTACAGATGTTTCTCCTTTTTTACCCCATTGGCACCCTCCTCCCCATCCCCCCGCCCCGTCCCCGGCTTTGATGTCCATGTCCATTGGTTATGCATACATGCATATAAGTTCCGTGGTTTATCTCTTCCCACCCCCACCACCCCCTCTTCTGAGGGTTGTCAGTCTGTACCCTACTTCCATGTTTCTGGGTCTACCATATTCCTCAGACTGTTATGTTCATTATATTTTGTATATATGTGAGATCATGTGGTATTTATCTTTTTCTGCTTGGCTTGTTTCACTTAGGATAATACTTTTCAGGTCCCTCCATGTCATCTCAAAGGATAAGAGATCTTTCTTTCTTACAGCTGCATAGTACTCCATTGTGTATATGTGCCACTGCTTTTTTATCCATTCGTCTACTGATGGACACTTGGACTGTTTCCAGATTTTAGCTATTGTAAATAGTGCTGCTGTGAACATGGGGGTACATATATTCTTTCTGATTGGTGTTTCAGGCTTCTTAGGATATATTCCTAGAAGCAGGATCACTGGGTCAAATGGCAGTTCAATTTTTAATTTTTTGAGGTAACACCATATTGTTTTCCATAGTGGTTGCACCAATCTGCATTCCCACCAGCAGTGTACTAGAGTCCCCTTTTCTTCACAACCTCGCCAACACTTCTTGTTTGATGATTTGTTGATGGCGGCCATTCTGACAGGTGTGAGGTGATACCTCATGGTTGTTTTAATTTGCATCTTTCTGATGATTAATGATGTTGAGCATTTCTTCATAAGTCTCTTGGCCATTTGCATGTCCTGTTTGGAGAGGTGTCTATTCAGCTCCTCTGCCCATTTTTTAATTGGGTTCTTTGTCTTTCTTTTGTTGAGTTGTATGAGTACTCTATATATTTAGGAAATTAATCCCTTATCTGATGTATCATTGGCAATGATGCTCTCCCATGTAGTGGGTTGCCTTTCCATTTTGATGATTGTTTCTTTTGCTGTGAAGAAGCTTTTTAGTTTGATGTAGTCCCATGTGTTCATTTTTTCCTTTGTTTCTGTTGCCTTAGGTGATGTATCAGTGAAAATTCTGCTGCGTACGATGTCTGAAATTTTGATGCCTACATTTTCTTCTAGAATTTTTATGGATTCACGGGTCACATTTAAATTTTTTATCCATTTTGAGTTTATTCTTGTGTATGGTGTAAGTTGATGGTCTAGTTTCATTTTTTTGCATGTACCTGTCCAATTATCTCAATACCATTTATTAAAGAGGCTATCTTTACTCCACTGTATGCTCTTGCCACCTTTGTCAAATATTAATTGAGCATATTGCCTTGGGTCCATTTCTGGGTTCTCTGTTCTGTTCCACTGGTCTATATGCCGTTCTTGTGCCAGTACCAGGCTGTTTTGATTACAGTGGCTTTGTAGTGTAACCTGATATCTGGTATTGTGATCTCACTTACTTTGTCCTTCTTTTTCAAAATTGCTGTGGCTATTCAGGGACTTTTTTGGTTCCATATGAACTTTTGAAGTATTTGTTCAAGTTCTGTGAAATATGTCATTGGTATTTTGATGGGGATTGCATTGAATCTATAGATTGCTTTGGGTAGTATGGACATTTTAATGATGTTAATTCTTCCAATCCATGAACAAGGTATGTGCTTCCACTTTTTTATCTTTTATCTTCCTCTATTTCTTTTTTCAACGTCCTTTAGTTTTCTGCAAATAGGTCCTTTACTTCTTTGGTTAAGTTTATTCCTAGGTATCTTAATTTTTTTCCATGATGGTAAATGGGATTGTTTTTTCAGTTTTCTCTTTCTGTGACTTCATCATTGGTGTATACGAATGCCATCGATTTCTTGACATTAATTTTAGTATCCTGCTACTTTAAGGCCTCAATTTAAATTCTGTAAGGGAGAGGTAAAATTTCTCTTGGGCTGATAGGATTTTCATTGCCTTCAGCTCGAAATAATCCCCATGCCAAAGTAGCACTTCTTGGGGATGGCCTGTTCTGAAGTCCTTTGGTAGCTTACCTAACTTCTGTTTTGGTTCTCTATAACCCTGTAACAATTCACCCAAAATTTAGTGGTTTAAAACTATTTAAAACAGTTTATTAGTTATGATTCTTTGGGTTGACTGGATGGTTCTTCTGCTTTAAGTGATATAGACTGGGGTGTTGGGACGGCAAAAAGGTCCAAAATGGCCTTAAATTCATTGCTGGGAGTTGGTGTTGGATGCTGGCTGAAAGCTTGTCAGGGCCCTTAGTTCTCCTTCTTATGGACTTCTTCATGTGGCTGCTTGGACCTGCAGACCAGCAGTTGTGTTCTGGGAAAGAGCGTTCCAAGAGGAAAGAAGCAGAAGCTGCCAATTCTCTTCAGGCTTGGATTCAGAAGTGTCAGAGACTCACTTATGCCACATTCTATTGGTCAAAGTATCCACAGGGCTACTGTGGAATCTGAGGGCCAGCTCAGATTCAAGAGGCCAAGAAGTAAACTCTGTCAGTGGAAAAGCAGCTTCTGCAAACTTGATGGCAGCCATCTTTGTAGACTATCTACCACAATCTCTGCAAAATTTGGCTTTGCTTATTCTCTTTTCTTCTACTCTTCTGAGAGGGACAGCATGCCATTGTGATTATTCTTTCTTGATCTGTTTTGTGTGCTCATCTTGCTCTATACCCACATCCATGACGTCCCCCTAAACTATACCTCCAACCTAGAATTGTTTCCCAAGATGCCTACTAGATATCTTCTCTTAGATGTTCCAAAGGAACATTTCATTACTGACATTTTTTAAACAGGGCTCATTAGATTTGCTTTTAAACCTACTCATGATTTTCTTTTTCTGGTGAATGGCAACATTATCTTTCCATCCGGTTAGTTACTAAAGCCAGAAAATTGGATTTGCTTATTTTTACATATCTGACTCTGCTTCTCTATCTGATCTGTCACAAAGTCTAGTTAATTCTGTCTCCCTTAGAGGTACTAGACTTATTGGGGTGATCACTCTATAATGTATATGAACGTCTAATTTCTATATTGTAAACTTGAAACTAATATAATATTATATGTTAACTGTAATTGAAAAATTGAAAAAAAAAATTGTCTCCTTAACAGTTCTCATAATCCTTTCTGTCTTCAATGCTACCACTTATTTTAGGCTTCATCATCTCACACTCAAACATATTTTTTTTCAGTATTTACAGTTAGTTCTCTGCCTTTAGTCCTGTACTTCTCCAATTAACTTTCTATATTGCTTCCAGGGTAATAATCTTACAATGCAAATTTGATTGCTATTGCTCTAAGTAGTAACTTTCATTAGTTTCTCATTGCTTATGGAATAGTTAACTACAGTAATACCTCGGTTCTCGAACATAATTCGTTCCAGGAGGACGGTCGAGAACCAAATTGTTCGAGAACCGAAGCAATGAAACCCAATAGGAAATAATGGAAACTGGATTAATTCGTTCCAAGCCCCAGAAAATGCCTATTTACTGGCCTAATTTGTATATAATATGTAGAAAAACATAAGTCTCAACAAGAAATAAAAGTGTACAGTATGTCTAAGGGTTAAATTCAGTGTAAAGCGTGACTCTCTCCACAAAGCGTGACTCTCTCTCTGCACTCACACTGATGGCGCAAGCAAGGCGCGCTGGGCCGAATGAACGCCATTCGGCTCAACTCGGCTCATCTCGGAAGTTCGAGTTCCAAATATTTGTTCGGATTCCGAGACAAAAGTTTCTCGAATCTCCTGGTCGAATACCGATTTGGTCGAAATTCGAGGCGTTCGAGAACCGAGGTATCACTGTATATACTTTCCCAGGTTTATCTCTTACTGTCTCTGCTCTTCTCATTTTTCTACACCTCTCCAGTTTCTAACAATTACATCCTGTCCTTCGCTAACACAGTGCGTAACATGTGACTATGGAGGTGACATGTCTTTTAGATCAAAAGCCCACATGATTTGCATAGGTCATGAAACTTCTTTTGCTTTAAAGATCTCTGTTTATCAATTTATATGTAAATTTATCAACATTGGTCACATATTTGAAACCTGATGCAGTAGTAGTTTTTTGGGACCAGATTTTTAAAACGTATGTATACATAGCACATATGGAGTGCAAAATTCAAATGATTCAAAAAGTTATATGGCAAAAATCGACTCTTTACAACTTCTTAGCCTCTTACTGCTTATTAGTTTCTTGCATACACTTTCAGAGAGTCTGTGCATATGCTTACATCTGTGTACATATAAAAAAGTATAAATATCTGTAATTACATAATAGCAGTTCTATAATGTTCTGACCTTTTGTATCTCTGTGTATCTTATGAATTGTTTTACATCAATGCAGATAAAGCTATTTCCCTCTTTTTAGTGACAGCATGGAATTTTATCTTTCTCCTATTGATGAGCATTTGGGTCACTTCCAAATGTTTTGCAGTTACAAATGATGTGATATATGTCTTTGTGGATGTATCATTTGTACATGGTTGAGTATATCTGTAAGGCAGAGATTTTCAACCTTTTTTTTTTTTTTTAAATCTCATGGCACACATAAACTAATTACTAAAATTCTGTGGCACACAAAATATATTTTTTTTTGCTAATCTGACAGGAAAAAAAAAAAAGGTATAATTCTGATTCATTCACACCAGATGGCTATTATTGTGTTGGCTGCTGTCATTTAAAAATTTTTTTATTTGGCAGTCTAAGGGAAAATAAGTCAGTGCCCCTAACTAAATAGTAAGGTATTGAATGTTTTAAAAATTCTCGTGGTATATCAGTGTGCTGTGGCACTCGGGTTGGAAATCACTGCTGGAAGGGAAATTTCTAGAAATGGACTTTTTGGACAATATTTGCCTTTAAAATTTTAACAGATGTTGCCAATTGTCTTTTATAAATATCCTAAGTTGTTATATATTTCAGAAGATTTTCTATTGTAGGCAAATTACTTTCACAAGTTTGTTGAAGTAGCACTTTATAAGAGATTAATTGGAGCAACTGAGCCCATCAAATTAGAAGTTGAATTGGAATTATTTTCCTTGGAATTTCATTACATTTTACATGAGCCATTTAAGTATATTGTTATTTGCTTTCTTCATCATTTTAGTTCATACATAGAGTTGGAAAAGTACTAAATAGTAGAGAAAACCTAAAACACACTCATACTTTTCCATGCACGTGTGAAGACTAAGTGTCCTACATTGGCATGTGATTTCTACAATTCAGATTAATTGATAGGGCCATATGGGAGGGAGGGAGGGAGTGGTGGGACACACACACCCCCCCAAAATAAAAACTAATAAAAATTTTTATAAGAAAACAAATTTTGAGTCAATGAAGGTAGCAGGAATCTGTTATTAAATTTTAGTTTTGTATTCAGAGGACTAAAGACTTTACCTCAGAGTTTATCTCCCTCATGAAGCTCTTCTAGGTAGAAGTTACCACTATATTTATGCCTTTTTTTCTTTTTAAATCCTCACTCAATGATATTTCTCCATTTATCTTCAGAGTGAGAGGGAGGGAGGGAGGGAAGGGGAAAGAGAGAGAGAGAGAGAGAGAGAGAGAGACATTGATACCAAAGAGACAAATAGATTGGTTGCTTCTCTCATGACCCAGATCAGGGCTGGGGACCAAACTGTAACCAAGATATGTGCCCTTGACCGAAATTGAACCCAAGAATCTTTGGTCTGTGGGCTGCCGCTCTAACCACTGAGCCAAACCAGCCAGGGGTATGTCTATGTTTTTATTTCTATCATACATCTAATGATAGTCTATTACTCTTATTTATTTACATGTTCATTTTTCCCATTAGAATGAACATCTTGAGGGTTTGGAATAGACAACAAATGTCTGTTGAATAATGAATGAATTCCTTACATATGAATGCCTATGAAAGGTAGAGGACTTATTTATATTTTACATTTTTCTTAATTGGCAATTACTTTTCTTTTCTGCTACTAACCCAATTTTACAGATCAAGCTGAGCTCTGTCTTTGTATTCTCTATCTCTACCCTCATTCTAGAGAAGAATTTATCTTATACCTTGCTGATAATGTGCTGTGTGGACTTGGTCTTCTCTTCATTAGAAATGATCCTGTTCTCCTATTCCCTTTATACGAAAATCAATTCATTTGTCGATTCCAAATGAGCTCATTTCAGTTCTTGTGTCTTCTGTCACAGCAGTCATTAGTAGTGGCAAGGAACAAGGAGAGTTCCTTTTATTGTTATTTACAATCGAACAAGGGAAGGTATGTCCAAACATACAGAAGGATAATCTCCAAAGTATTTTATCATGGAATCTCTCCTGCCTTTGGGCCTGGAGTGGTCTTTGGCTTATTCTTTGTCATACTGACATTTAGGTGAGCGAAACAATGTGAGAAGTTCCCACAGGAAATTTTGAGCATGTCAGACTGAAGGAACAGAAAGAAGCCAATGTTACTAGTGCTAAGTGAATGAGGGGGACAGTGATAAGGCAGGGACTGGATATTGCTGATTTTATAGCCCTTGTTAATGAGTTCAGATTTTATGCTAACCGCAATAGGAAACCATTGATACTTATTGTTGGTAAATTAATGGGAGATACTTTGCTTCTGGCTCAGCCACTCGAAAGTCAGTTATATCATTATTTCTATGATAAAGTATTTTTCCATTCATAAACAATGAACTTTAGGTATAACATTATTTTTCTAAGGGTTTTATCTGTATGCCGTTATACATAAAATCTACAAGAGTTTTATTTTTTAAATTGAGAAAACTAGAATATTAATACACAGTCACTGGCTATGATTTGTTAATTAAAGAACATTATTAATTCTCCCCTCACTCCCAATATGTTTAGAGATGATGTAACACTACTTAGACAAGAGGTCCAAGACCTACAGGCTTCACTTAAGGTAAGAATAAAAATGATTATATTTGTTTCTTTTTAATGTTTCAGATAATAAATCTTTTAAAATTCACTAATTACAAATAATTTTTTTCCCTTTAGGAAGAAAAATGGTACTCAGAAGAATTAAAGAAAGAATTAGAAAAATTTCAAGGACTGCAGCAGCAAGTAATTGTTTTTATATGCTTGAAGTGTGTTTATTAGTTGATTATTGTCATTGTTGAAAATTAGCATAACACTTTTTGAAAGCAGGTGGCCGAATATAAACAACTTACTAATTTTTTTTCTTTTGCGTTTAATAGCCTACAGTGTATATTCCTTTTAATTCTAATGAATGTAAACAAGTATATGGGAATCTAAGATGTAACTCCTTAAAGGTGCTCCATTAAAAATCAATTCCTATAGATTGTTCTTTTACATCAGGCTACATTATTGTATTCTAACAATGTACCTAAATGGTTAAAAAATATAGGTTCAAACAATAGTGAGACTCTTCAAAGCATTTGTGATTGTGATAAGTTGGAAATGACTAAAATGTCTATTAGTAAGGAAAGAACTATTAACTGTTATAGTAAAAGTTGTTTGAAAACATGGGAAAACTTGTATTAATGATATTAGGTATCAAAAAGCAGAATAGCCCTGGCCAGTTTGGCTCAGCGGTTGAGCGTCGGCCTCTGGACCAGAGAGTTTGGTTCCTGCTAGGAGCACGTACCACCAAAAAAGCAGAATAAAAATATTTATATATATGTGTGCATATACATAAACACATGTATATATTATATGACTTTAACTACATAAAAATAATACATAGAAAAAAAACAAGAAAATCACTGTGCTATCAAAAGTGGTTATCTCTGAGTGAGATTCTTTTAATGTCTAAATTCTTTATGGTTTAGTGTATTTTCTAAGTGCATAATCTTAACCAATTATGCTTTTTATACTAAAATTATATTGACTTTTAAAATTAAAATTACATAAATTATATAAAGAATTGTAGAATAATAAATTTTATCAAATCTATATATAGTTTTTATTTATAAAAATAAAATGAATACCCTTCAACAATAGTTGTAATATTTTTATAAAGTAATTAGTGATCCCTTTGCACATTATCTTAGCATATTATGACTCTCAGTCTTTTGCCTTTGAGTCTTTTTATCAAAAATTGTCATTTGGACAAGAAAAGAGAAAAACAAATAAGTGGCCAACAAGATATCAGTCATGTTACTATTCAGACTTTATAAGAGTTTATATTAAAGAGATTTTTAACAATCTAAAATACTTATAGATCATTATTAATCTTTTACATGGATGCCATTTACAACTAATCAAACATGAGCTCTATTATCTTCTGTACCTGAAAACAGAAAAAGTTGTTAACTACATTTGAGATGATTATTTTACATTTAATAAATAAATTCTCCACAGTGCAAAGTACAAATTGACTTGTTAGGAGTCTTATGTTTGGGGGAAAATATATTTGAAGTATTGATGATTCTTAGCAATCATTATGTTCAAATTCAATGTATAGGAAAAAGAGTCAGATATACTATGAAATGCTTTATTAAATAAACTTTATCATATGTGTATGATTCTTTAGAATATAAAAATAATGACGAGGCAGTATATTATTTTGTTCCTAATGCACGTGCTAAGTTAAACCTTATGGCATATATTCTTTATTCTTGCTTCTAAAAATGATTTATGATCCTAAATTAAAAACTTATGCTTTTAAAACCAGTTTTTAGTAGTGCTGGTTCCATGGCATATTTATCTTATGTAAATTTTCAAATATAGGTTTGACTCTTGCCTGCTGACTTGAATATTTGCTTTAGAATCTATAGTTATAATTGTAACAATTTATATTTATTGATTACTGAACTTATGGAATTTAAGATTTCATCTATTGCAAGACACATAATAATTTCCTATAAAATGTTACTATAAAAACATTCTTAGAACCAATGAGTTGCAGTTAAATTATTATGCCAGTGTGCTTGGTGTTACCTTAGAGATCTGGAAGAATGTGAGCAGGCCAAATTAAAAATCTTCTTACCTGACTGAATGTGACTTTCAGAGATTTCTTTTTAACATTGGCAATTGTAACAGTATTATTTTTTTCTTCTTAATGCATTTGTTTATGTCTTTTGTTTTCATTGAGGAGTCTAAACCCGATGGATTGGTGGCTGATTCATCAGCAGGTAACTACTTAAAGTAGATATTTTGTTTCTCTTTTTTTTCCTTTTCATCCTTATTTTCACTTTTTTTTCCCCCTCATGCCTGCTATATGAATTTTGTTCTGTGGTTATACTTTATGGCTCTAAAATAGTGAAGCTAACAGTAATGTTCTAGGCTTACAGAGCTTGTTACCCATGAACTTTATAATTTAATCAATTTACTAAAATCTTAGTGTTTTCTTAGTTCATTATATTCTGAAGTTACCAACTTCTGGAATATTATATCAATATGTTGTTTAATGAAAAGTTAAATTCTATTATCAAAAAGTGTTATACTCTTTTTTCTTAAAAGAAGATGATGAAATTAGCATCTTTTTATTTTTATTTATTTTTTCTTGTTGTTGTTTTTATCCTCACCCAAGGACATTTTTTTTTCCATTTTTTGTACAGATAGAGTGGGAAGGAGAGAGAGGAAGGAGAGAGAGAGAGAAACGTCGATGTGAAGGGACACATCGAGTGGCTGCCACCCGCATGACCAACCAGGGCCGGGGACAAACTGCAACCGAGGTACGTGCCCTTAGCGGGAACCGAACCCAGGTCTCTCCAGACCACAGGCCGACGCTCTAACCGCTGAGCCAAACCGGCCAGGGCGAAACTAGCATCTTTTTAATGGACTATAATGGGAGGACCGCTCAATGAATATTCAAAATTATTAATATTTATTTATTTATTTTTTTATCCTCACCCGAGGACATTTTTTAATTTTCTGTTCAGAGAGAGCGGGAGGGAGAGAGAGGAAGAGAGAGATAGAGAGAGAGAAACATCGATGTGAAAGGGACACATCAAGTGGCTGCCACCCACATGACCCAACCAAGGCTGGGGACAAACTGTAACCGAGGTACGTGCCCTTAGTGGGAACCGAACCAGGGTCTCTCTGGACCGCAGGCCGTCGCTCCAACTGCTGAGCCAAACCAGCCAGGGCCAAAATTATTTTTGAAGTTAATTTCCCTCTGAAACCTCTTTTCTTTTTGAGAATAAAGTATTAGGAATTGACTGCATATTTTAATTGATTATTTTACATAAGACCTTGATTGTTTTCCTTAAACCAACTGTTTCATTTTATTTCACATTATTACAAATTTTATCAGAGAAGCAGAATATTTCTTTTTAGTTAGTTGACAGATATAGGAAAATAAATATGAAATGTGAAATCAAAATAATTTTCAAATAAATATCTATAGGTTATTTGGGTGTGTTACCAAACAATGCTTTCATTTGTTTTACATGTTTGTAAATTATGACTTGTGCCTTAAATGAAACAGATATGCTTAATTCTTAAAATATGAAGATACTTATAATTGGTAATAGACATGTTAATTGTCTTTAACTACTGCAATGATTATGATATAAATAATTACAATTTAGCAAATGTAATTAACATTGAATTTGAATAAATACTATACTTTTTTGTAGAACTGCATTCTTTGGAACAACAGTTAGAAGAAGCCCAAACAGAAAATTTTAATATTAAGCAAATGAAAGACTTATTTGAACAGAAAGCAGCACAACTTGCTACTGAAATTGCAGGTAAATTGAGTAAGAATTTTTTAGCTAATACATCAATTTCATTTCCTTTTGGTCATTATATATCCTAGACATAAGCATTGTATTTTAGTGATAAAATATTTGGTCTAGACTATGGTGGTGGTTACTGGAATTTAATAGCAGAATTACTATATGAATTGTTTTGTTTGTCTTTCTACCTACTCCTTTCAGAACACCAATTTTCTCTATAGAATTCTTCTTGATTTTTAGAGAAGATGAATTTTCTTTGGGATATCTTAAAGGTTAACAAGAAACATTTTAAAGATGTTAAATAACATAGTATAGATTTAACCTTTGGTTATACTATCTGTTATACTTATTATTATTATTATTATTATTATTATTATTATTATTTTTATCCTCACCCGAGGATATTTTTCCATTTTTTGTACAGATAGAATGGGAGGGAGAGAGAGGAAGGGAGAGAGAGTGAGAAACATCGACGTGAAGGGACACATCAAGTGGCTGCCACCCGCACGACCAACCAGGGCCGGGGACAAACTGCAACCAAAGTACGTGCCCTTAGCGGGAACCGAACCCGGGTCTCTCTGGACCGCAGGCCGACGCTCTAACCGCTGAGCCAAACTGGCCAGGGCCATATTATTATTTTTTTAACTACATACTTTTAGGTAAGATATTATATGTGATTAAATATACACAAAAATTTTATTTGGTAGAATATTTATATATACAAAAACAATTGATTATTTTAAGTTCAATTAATGTAAGTAGAACTATACATATATATATAGTTATCTAAAGAATGTGAATTTGAATGAGATGATATATAGATATGCCCTTCAATATACAGCAATTTATAAAACTGTCCTTCCTTAGAGTTAATGCCATGAAACTAATATACATATATCTTTAATTAGATATAAAATCAAAATATGATGAAGAAAGGAGTCTTCGAGAAGCTGCTGAACAAAACATGTCACATCTGACAGAAGAATTAAACAAAGAGGCAACTATAATTCGAGATCTGAAGACTGAACTGGTAATTTATAAACTATTTATTAGAATGTACCTTTATAATCTTCTAAATTCAAAATGAAATATCTTCTCTGATGGAAAATATTTGAAAGTATAGCTTGAGCCCTGGCCAGTTTGGCTCAGCGGTTAGAGCGTCGGCCTGCGGTCCAGAGAGACCCAGGTTCAGTTCCCGCTAAGGGCATGTACCTCAATTGCAGTTGGTCCCCGGCCCTGGTTGGGTTGTGTGGGTGGCAGCCACTTGATGTGTTCCTTTCATGTCGGTGTTTTTCTCTCTCTCTCTCCCTCCCACTCTATCTGAACAAAATATCGAAAAATGTCCAGGTGAGGATAAAAAAAAAAAAGTATAGCTTGAGTAAAATGGAGGAAATAAAAAATTCCCTACAGTTCTTCTACCACCTTCATATATTTTATATATGATTTTAAAAATCAAAATGGAATTTTATGTTACATAATTTATTACCTTAACATTTTTGTTGTTTCTGTCTTAATATCATCTGTCTTTTTGTGTAGTTTCCATATCTGCATCTCTCATCCTGACCTTCCCTTGCTCTTTAATTTTATAAATCCACCTACTTTTAGGATACTTCTAGTTGTGTTTCTAGCTTTCATTTAAAACTTCGTAAGTATATAGTCCATGAACACAGAAAATAGTGTGGTGAAGGCCTGGGGTGCAGTGTGAACATGGTGAAAGGGAGCAATGAGGGATAAATGGGGGGTATCTGTGATACTCTCAACAATAAAGATAAATAAAAATATTCAATAAGTATAACATCAAATCATCATATTTCCTCTATAACTGTATTTCTGTCATTGGTACTGTACATCTTCAGTGTTCAGGCTCAACAACCTTGGATCTGTTCTTGACCCCTTTCTGTTCTTTATTTAGCACTCAATAAATATATCAATGAATTAAGCAACTACATTCAACCTGCAACAAACCCTAATTATGCTTACATTGCTCCTTCTTCATTTTCATGACCAGTTTCTTAGGATAGAAAATGAAGGAATGTTAGCCTTTGTTAAGTGATTGTTATGACCAATAAGTGTAGTTTGTGAAGGAAAGGAAAACAAATAAAGCACTAAGGATAATTGTGAATTTGCTATTTTGCACTTTGAGTGGTGATACCATTAAATATGAGATAGAATGGGAAGAAGAGAGGCTTCTTGTGGGGAAGAAATCAGTGTTTGATGTTTGGAGTTCAGTAATTGTTTTTATTTTGATTTCTCTGTAGTGAAACCATTTAGAATGTTTATTATTTTAGGTTTTCACTGTAATTATTTTTTATTGTTGAAAGTATTACAGATGTCCCCCCTTTTACTGTAATTTTTATTTAACATGTGTTGTTGCTTTACAGCTTCAGAGACCCGGTATAGAAGATGTTGCTGTGCTAAAGAAAGAACTGGTCCAAGTTCAAACACTAATGGATAATATGACCTTGGAACGTGAGAGAGAATCTGAAAAACTCAAAGATGAGTGCAAAAAGTTACAAGCAGATTATGCTAACTCAGAGGTAATGAAGTTCAGTGAACTTAAATGTGATGATAGACATTAACTTATTTATACTGTTGAGAGAAGCCAGAATATGAGATTTTTTGGAGTGAGCTATCAAAATAGTATTTGTCTTTCTTTCATTTGCCCTGAGTAATATTTATATATAGTAAATAAGATCTGAGAATTACTATCTTGTCTTTGCTTTATGTAGCTAGACACTTAGAGAAGAATGTTTGTATAAAAGTATATTGTGCTATTTAATAAATGATGTATATTGTGTAGAGATGATATTTAAAGTTAAATGTGCTCCTGGCTAGTCAGTAAGTGGCAATTGAGTTTATTTCATTTAGGTAGGCATAAAGGAAGCATCTCTGAGAACTGATCTACAACTCTTGTTAGATGGTGTAGGGTTCATATTTCTTCATAAGTCAGCTCTTCCATTGAGTCGACATTTCCCTATAATTTACTTGCACTGGTTCCAATTCTCCTCAGGAATTACACAGAGTAAATCCTTTCTCTTTTCCTCATGAGATATTTTAAAGCTGTTCATATTTACTTTTGAGTTTTTTCTCTTCTAGGATAAAAATCCTCAGTTTCTTCTATCATTTCTCACAGGACATGACCTTGACCTCTAAACCCCTTACATAGTTATGTCAGCATCTTTCAAGCTCTAGGATATGTAATATATATATTTGCATAAAAATGCTAGCCTTTATCCTTTTTACTGTATTATAGGAGATATTATTATGACTACTATTATTTGTAGTTCTTAAGCTCTCATTTTTGATGTTGACCACTTTTTTTTTATAGTTTCAGTTTAAAAAGTAAAGTTATAATGACCTTTCAATTTGTATCTCTGTCTTAGAGTTTTAAAGCTGGTGATCTAAAAGCCTCTCTCCTCATACTCATATATTACTGAACTATGGAGTATAATATGGGTAATCTATGTAGTCTTTTACTTTTATGTATTATGAGTGGGGGAATGGGAAAAGTTTATGGGTACAACATGCATAGGCACATGAGGCTTTATGATGCTAACACTTCAGATTTTAAAGTTTATGAATTTCAGGGCCAAATTTCCCAAAAATGATCTTTGTAGCCAATAACACATAATCCCACAATTTTTCCATCAATTTCAGGGAGTTTATTAATTATCAAAAGTGGGTAAAAGCTCCTAATGTGTAATCAAGGTGAAGCTGAATTGAAGACATCTCATGAGAAAAATCTGACTTAGATAATGCTAAAGTAGAAATACTTGAACCCGCGTTAATCCAATCATTTACTTCAGTGCTTCAATAAGAATTCCTTTTGATTAAATCTGCCTGCCTACTAGTATTTCTGAGATAAAAAAATTAGCCCTGGCTGCGGTTTGGCTCAGTGGTTAGAGTGTTGGTCCATGGACAGAGGAGTCATGCGTTCAATTCCTGGTCAAGGGCAGATACCTCAGTTGCAGGTTTAATCCCCGGCCCCAGTCAGGGTCATGCAGGAGGCAGCCAATTGATGTGTCTCACTCACATCAATGTTTCTCTCTCTTTCTCTTTCTCTCTCTCTCCCCATTCTTCCCTCCCACTCTATCTGAAAAAAATTAATGGAAAAAATATCGGCAGGTGAGGGTAAAAAAAAAAAAAGTTATATTCTATTTTAATTAAAAATATCCTTAATGTTATTTAAAATTTCAAAACAAATGTAATAGTGTGACTAAAATTGAATCACAGTAATGGCAGTATCAATGTGAGAGAAAAACATCGATTGGCTGCCTCCTGCATGTCCCTACTGGGGATCAATCCCGCAACCCAGGCATGTGCCCTGACTGGGAATCCAACCGGAACCTCTCAGTCCATGGGACGTCATTCAAATACTGAGCCACAATGACTGGGCAGAATATGTCTATTTTAAAGTGCAATCCTCCCTGACCTTTTCAGCTGAGAATCTTGGCTTCATAGTTGTTATATATGTAGAATTTGAACAAAGAGAAGAAATTTATATATACTTGCATTTTGGGAAAAATATATGTGGGAAATATTTTTGAGTAATTTTTTTAAAGAATTACTATAGTTTAATGTGGAAGATTTTTAAAAATGCATATTTTTATTCATGTAGATTAAATATATGTTTATATGTAATGAGAAGAGGTTCTTTCAAATTTTCATAAGAAACATGTTTTGAAGTAAACTTTTACAATAAAAGGATTTATTCTTGCTGAATAATTGGTGTTTTAATATTTTATTATATTATTACTAAAATATGGATAATATTTACTCCCTTCTTAGTTAATTAACAGATGTATAGTTATTGAGGCCTCAGATTGTTTTTGAAATATTTTGAACAACTTTAGGAAATGGTAGCATAAGAGAATACTATTTCTCTGGCCAGTTTGGCTCAGCAGTTAGAGCGTCAGCCTGCGGTCCAGAGAGACCCGGGTTCGGTTCCCGCTGAGGACACGTACTTCGGTTGCAGTTTGTCCCTGGCCCTGGTTGGGTTGTGTGGGTGGCAGCCATTCGATGTATCCCTTTCACGTCGATGTTTTTCTCTCTCTCCCTCCCACTCTATCTGAACAAAAAATGGAAAAATGTCCTTGGGTGAGGATAAAAAAAAAGAGAGTACTATTATTACTTGAAACAAACTCTTACTTGAGCACCACTAGTTTGGGGTACTATGCTAGGCATTTTAAATATGTAGTCCTATCTGTTTCTTTTAACACTGTGAGTTAAGTACTATTTTAAGTTTGTTTTATATGTTAGGAATCTGAGGCTCAGTGAAGATATATGCCCTGTTCAAGGCCATGCACCTAATATTAAGAAGTTAGTATTAGAGCTCAGGTCTTATGCAAAGCCTGTGTTCTTTCTATATCATGTCATCATTTTAGATGGTCTAATGATTTACCTTAAAAGTAAATTTGTGCTGTTAATATTGACCTAATACTTATTGTTATGACTTTCTGTATTTTGCCATGTTGTATGTTATAATATTTATATTGAGTATAGCTTACAATTACTTTTGAGTTGTGTCTCATACCATTTTGATATGAAAAAAAAATCTGTCTAAATACTCCATCTCATTTATTTGTTTATTACTGCATTTGTTTTTAGCTTCTGCTTGCTCTTTAAATAGATGGCATGTATTTTATTAATTTATTAACATTCAATTCTGTTTATTCTCAGTTAAGTGTGTTGGTAAATTATAGCACTTAAAGAACTTAATAAAAATACTTTATTTTATATATTAAATATTTTACTGAACCTAAAATTAGCATGAGAAACAAAGTACATTAAAAGGAAATAAAGAAGCTGAAAAATGCAATGGTTTATTTGGTATTCCTAGTTGAAGCTGAAGATATATTAGTTGGTGTGCATTGTTAAATATGTCTTTATGTTTCATTACTTTATGTTTCATTACTTAGATGCTTAAATAACTCATTTTAAACATTTTGAAAGTACTTTATAAATACTAATTAGCTATTTTATAGATCAGAAATTGAGGATTTAAAGCTTTACAATATTATTTCTAAAAATCTACATTATTGAAAATATTGAACTTGTAATCAACTTACATTTAGTGTGGTCTTTAATGGAAATTATTTTTTAAGAATTTTATTTGTATTCCAAATAAACTCATTTGAATTTTAGGTTTAAAAGCTAAATTATTGATAAAGACATGGAATAAGTGTAATTATATTCAGCATAGTTATTAAAGAGAGTACTTAAAATTTTTTTGAAGTATGCTAATTTAAGAGATCAGATTTAGCAGTATGTTTTGACATTCTTACTATGTGTTCACTGTGTACTTTTGTCAGTCTTGTTTTCCACCTTTCATCCATCATTTTATTATTATTTTTTCTGCTTTCTAATGGAGATGCTTAAACTTGAGGTAATGTGTTTTTGGAAGGCTTTTAATATTAGTAATACTTTTAATATAGTACTTTTATCATCATATGGCAATTTTGTGTTTTAAGCCAAAGTCAACTTCAAAGATATGCTCATTTTTGTTTTTATTAATCATGCAAATGTTTAGCCATCGTTGAGTGATTATTTACCAGGTAAGAGTAGTATAATATTAGGACAATGATTATAATTCTAAACTACTAGCAGGATGTTTGCTTGAAATATTTTTTCCTAATTATTTTGTAATTTAAAATATTTTTTGGGAAAAGTTCAATGTTAAATTCAATAACACGACTGTAAGGAACCCAAACTATTTATAGAATCTTATATACTGTTTCCATGGGAACAAATATCTACTAACTTCTTGGAGATAGAATCACTCATTCTTTTAGTGAATATTTTTTTGACTGCCTCAGTGTGAGCAGTTAGGAGCGGGGCATATAGCAGTGGATAAAACAGAGTGCCTGCTCTCATAAAGCTTGTATTCCTTTGTGGAAGCTGAACAATTAGATTGTAAAAAGATCGTGATAGAAAGTCAGTTAATGCTAAGTGCTATAAAGACAAATAAAGAAGGATGTGCAGTAGTGGAGCTGACAATGTGGGACAGTTTTAGATGGAATGGTCAGAAAGGTCTTCTCAGGGAGCAGATGTGTGAGAAAAATGAACTAAGCAGGAATCAAGGTGAAGAAATGGGAGCAGGAAGAGGCAGTGCAAGTACTAAAGCCTTCAAGGCACAGGTGAGCCTGGCCTATAAAGTCGGGAAGAAAGGGCCCTGGCTGGGTGGTTTAGTTGGTTGGAGCATCATCTTGTACACCAAAAAGGTTTCGGGTTTGACCCCCTGTTGCAGTTCAATCCCTGGTTGGGGCATGTACAGGGACAACTGATCCATGATTCTCTCTTGCCCCCTCCCTCTCTCCCCCCTCCTTTCCTTTCTCCCTAAAATCAATAAACGTGTCCTCACCCAAGGAAAGGTAGTGTGGCTAGAGCAGAGAGCCTTCTTTGTTTGCATTTTATCATAGTGATACCTGAACAGGAGCTTTATTTATTTTGAAATTTGTCTTCCTTTGATCTTTACTTTTTCCCAAATATAGACAATTATACTTGACTATTGTAAAAAAATTTATAAAAAGAGAAAGTGAAACTTCCTGGAATTCACTGCTTTCTCCCCCTTCCCCACAATTAAAGTTCACCTTTTGGTGTATATTCTTCCCACATCTTTCTTTTCTTCCTTCTTGAGTACATTAAAAATTTAAATGCTTGCTTTTTAAAAATGTTTTAATATTCTAGTTTTAAAAAAGATACATTTTAGTGTACAAAGGGTAAGTGATGTACCTAATGTTCAGTTCTTTAGGTGTTAACATTATAAAATCATTTATAAGAACATGTCTATGTCCGGCTGGTATGGCTCAGTGGTTGAGCATTGACCTGTGCACCAAGAGGTCGCTGGTTCGATTCCTGGTCAGGGCACATGCCCAGGTTGTGGACCTGATCCCTAGTGGGGGGCATGTGGGAGGCAGCCAGTCGATGTTCTCTCTCATCAATATTTCTCCTTCTCCCTTCCTCTCTCTCTAAAACCAATAAAGAAAAATAAATTTTAAAAAAAGAAAAGAACATGTCTGAAAACTAAAATAAAACAGGATATTTTTGGATATATATTTTTTTACATTTTCTTATTTAGTTTCATCTACATTTTGGAATTTATCAGCAAGATAGATACTAGAGAGATATTACACCTGGCTTACAATATCCTATAAACTTTAATATGGGATCATGGTGTTTTAATTAAATGTACTCATAATTTTCATTTTAATATATATCATTATTTATTCCTATTATTATGTGCCACTCTGCTAAATCCTTTGATAAGGTATTTACAAGTAGAGATTAAAAACCAATAATTTGTTTTCTTTTGTGATAAGTTGGCATTTGTGCTATATGATTAAAACATAGTAATTAAGCCCTTGCCAGGTTGCTCAGTTGGATGGAGCGTCACCCTGTACACCAAAAGGTTTAGGGTTTGATTCCCAGTCAGGACACATACCTAGGCTGCAGGTTTGATCCCAAGTTGGGGGACGTATGGGAAGCAACTGATTGATGTTTCTCTCTTTCTTTCTCTAAAAATCAATAAAAATATATCCTAAAGTGAGGATTAAAAAAAACAACAAAAAACAACTTTGTAATTTAAGGTAGCCAAGTAGTTCCCAATATTTCTATTAATATTCTTAATGTAACTAACAGAAAATGATCCTGAGATTCCAAATTGTTAGAAATAGCAATTTGAAATGAAGTACCAATACATATATCCATGTCAAGGCTGCATGATCTGTTTAAGACAGAATGTATTAGGATATCTGCTTTTAACTTGAACAGTTACAAATACATAAATAGTTAAACATTTTCTTCTTTGAAATATATACATAACTAGTTGTTATATTTTATATTGAAATGCCCTATGTAAGGCGTAACTATAAAGTAATGCAACAAATTGCCTTTCAGTGGATCAGAATGGTTCATTTACATGAATATCTTCCATCAAAGGTCAACCATTAACATATCTCAGACATTCTGCAATTTCTAAACAACATTTTTGAAACCTCTTTGAATTGATTTTAAGCCAGTTTGGAAAACACTCAAAAGACTAGTTTTATTAAATTATGGTTATTAAAGTAAATTAAAATAAAAGAAGCCTGTGTTTGATCATAGAGTTCAGTCACTTACCTCTTTTACTAACTAGATGGTTTCCAAAACTTAAAATCAAAGCCACTGTAAATGGATGAAGATATACCACCAATGAGACCCACATTCTAGAAAGGTTTCCAAAAGAGGGGTAGTAAACAATCTCTTGGCATTTTTGTCACAATAAATTAGTAGCCTTCTTATTTTTCTTCTTTAAAGATGAAAGTACTTATTTATAATCTACTATGTAGGTAACTGCTGATAAGAAAAAATTTTTGTTTGTCTTATTTATATTATAAAGTTTATATAAATAAAGGATATAGACAGTGAAAGTAATTATAATTTTAGGAATGTAAAGAGAAAGCTTTAATGGTTAAAACTTTCATGTATAGGATGTTCATATTATTTTGAAATAATCAAACCATTATTTTAAACATAGAAATAAAAATAGAAATAAATTTTCATGAAAAAAAATGTTAAAATGTATTAAAGCAAATTCATGTTCAGCTATTGTACCTGATCATAGAGTGATCCAGCTTAATGAAACTATATATAACTTCCATTTGATAACTTTTTTGGACAAATACTTTCCATTACAGTAAAAAGGATGATTCACCACTTTTCAAGGTGATTCTGTGTTGTATTTTTGAATTTAATATGTTTTTAAAATAAAAAGAAAAGGCCATGTTATAGAAATTGGGAGAAATGTAGGCATAACTTCCTATGTTCTTTAAATTCAGGAGGATTAATATACATTGTCAAAGTCAGTAAATTAAAGTTTGTAGTTTGATGCTTACTTCAGATGCATAAAGTAGGTTGTCCACTTTTCATTTCCCATATTATTAAATAAATAAAGTTGTGTGTTTTGTATAAATTATAGAAGTTATTTTTAGGCAAATTACATGTGGGCTGGCAGTCGGGTGGTAGGATAAAAAACCAAGTTGAAACTTTTAAGTATTATTTCAATTTTAAAATAACAACGACAAAAATCAATGTAATCTTAAAACCTTTGGATGCTTCTATTTCCTTTTTCATTTTAGTTTGTTCTATTTTTTAGGCCACAATAAGCCAACTAAAGAGTGAACTTGCCAAAGGCCCCCAGGAAGTTGCTGTGTATGTGCAAGAACTACAAAAACTTAAAAGTTCTGTTAATGAATTAACACAAAAAAATCAGGTGAGAATTTTAAAACTATATATAGTGATGAATTGATTTTATTTATCTTAAAATTTAATCTTGTGTATGTTATTATATATGGGTACAGTACAATGTGACATTGTGTATTTCTTTTAGTGTTAAGTGCATTTATTGTTATGCAGCCAATCTCCAGAATTCATCATCTTTCAAAGCTGAAACTCTATACTAATTAAACAACTCCCCATTCACTGCCACTCCCTGCATCACCATTCTTTCTACATTTATGAATTTACTATTTTAAGTAACTGAAAAGTGAAACCATACAGTATTTGTCCTTTTGTGCCTGCCTTATTTCACAATAGCATAATGTCTTCAAGGTTCATCTATGTTGTAAAATGTGTCAAAATTTTCTTCTTTTTCAAAATACTGAATAATATTTTATTATAGGTATATATCATGTTGTCTTTTCATTTGTTGATGGGTACTTGGATTGCTTCAGTCTTTTGATATTGTAAATAGTACTGCTATGAACATGGGTATACAAATATCTCTTTAAGATCCTGCTTTTAATTTTGGGGGTACATACACAGAAGCAGAATTGCTGGATCATATGGTAATTCTGTTTTCAGTATTTTGAGGAAATCACGATAACAGTACATAACAGTTCTCTTAAGTAGTGCACAAGGATCCCATATTTTTGCCAACCTCTCTCTCTCTTTCTCTCTCTCTCTCTCTCTCTCTCTCTCTCTCTCTCTCTTTCTCTCTCTCTCTCTCCATGTGTGTGTATGTTTATAATCACCATCCTAAGAGTGTAAGGTGGTATTTCATCATAGGTGATTTGCATTTCCCTAATGGTTAGGATGTTGAACATCTTTTCATGTGCTTTTTATCCATATAACGTCAATCAGTTTTTTTTGTGGGTTTTTGTTGTTGTTGTTGTTGAGTTGTGGGAATTCTTTATATGTTTTGAATATTAACCCCTTACCAGATATATGATTTGCAAATATTTTCTCTCATTTCTTAAGTTGCCTTTCACTCTGTTGTATCATTTTGTTAAAGAAAAATGCTCCTCCTGTATCTCTTAATAAATACTCTGACATCAGATGGGTGGGTGTTCCATATATCAGCAGTTCTGCAACATAAGCTGGGTGTCCTACAATTTACCTCAATTCTGAAACTTCTGATGTGGAGATAGCATCAGATCCCACACATGAAGGGTTGAGTCCCTCAAGACTGTGACGTCCCCTTCAGATGTCAGTTGGAAGTCTAACATGTTACCTATAATTTTGATCAACTGGCTATAAATGGAGGGTTTCGTCAGTCCCCTCCTGGGGTTCAACTAATTTGCTAGAGTGACTCACAGAAGTCAGGAAAACATTTTACTTACCACATTTCTGGTTTATCATAGAAGACTATAACCTAAGAACAGCCAGATGGAAGGGATGCAATGGGCAGGTTATGTGGGAAAGGACACAGAGCTTCCATGGTCTCTCCATGTTCTCGCCACATGTTCACCAACCCAGAATCTCTGCAAACCCTGTCCTTCTGGCTTTTTATGAAGGCTTCATTACATAGGCATGATTGATGAAAACTTTGGCTTTTGGTGATTAATTCAGCCTCTAGCCCCTCTCCCCAAACTGGAGTTGGGGGGTGGGGCTGGAAGTTTTAACCCTTTAATTGTGGTTGTTTCCCCTGGAAACCAGCCCCCCGCCCCCCAGCATCCTTAGGGGCTTTTTCAAAAAATCACCTCATTAACATAAACTCATAGGTGGTTGAAAGGGGCTTGTTGTGAACAAAAAAATACATCTTTATTGTTCTTATCACAGAGGATTCCAAGGGTTTTAGGGGTCTGTTCCAGAAGTGGGGATGAAAACCAAATGTATATATATATTTTTATTATAAATCACAATATCACACCTCTGATGCAAAGAAGCTTTTGATTTGATATAATTTATCTAGTTTTACTTTTGTTGCCTGTGCTTTTGGTTTCATATCCAAGAAATCAATGCCAAATCCAGTGTTACCAAGGTTTGTTATGACTACTGCAGCTTTTAATATGGTTTGAAATCAGGAAGAGTAAGATCTCCAATTTTGTTCTTTATTTTGTATTTTGTAATGTTAATATTTTCTGCCTTGTTTCTTTATAGACGAACAACAGATAACATTTAGTTTGGGGCAGGGCAGTTAATAGTATTAGTACCCTTTTTTCCCATTTCTTTACTTTTTTTGGTGGTGGGGGAATACTGAGTTATTAAGCACTTATATTTGAAAGTATGGTGAATTTGTTGGCTTTACTATTGACTTGGACCTAATATTTTGGTGAAATATAACACGGGAAAAATCAAGAAAGAAAAGTACATAGTGGAAGGGAAAAATGAGGATACACTCCATTAAGGAAGCCATAGGCCTGAGTCCACAGGACCCAAGCAGGGCTGTTGAGCACAGGATACTGTGGACATCACTCATTTATATAGGGTCTCCAGGAGTAGGAGCTACGGAGAGAGAACAAGCCAGCACACGGGGGAGTGTGGGTCGTGGAGCAAGGGAGAACAAGGGCAAGCAAGAGTGAACAAGCACAAGAGCAGGAGCATGTGGGGACTCTTTGTCTGGGGATTTTAACTAGGAGCTTCTTCAAACTAACCAACTACCCTTTCAAATTTCATGTGCTTCTGATGGGGTCCACCTCCAGCCAAACCATTGTTCCCCAGCCTAGACCGACAGGCAAAACACCTTCTCTACATCACTCTGACTTCACTGTGCATGCACTTATCTTCCCCTTGTTGGATCCCTTTTCCCAGTGATCTACCGGGAATGGACCCATGGTTTCCTAGGGAGTGTGAAACTGCCCAGATAACCATGCTTATAATGTCTGGCCTCCCCTTTGCTTTCTTCCTATTACTAATACTAATAAACTAGCTAATTATGATGATAACATAAGGACTGCTTTACATTCTCAAAGTTGTTATGAATCTCAAAGAGCTTTTATTTTTCTGGGTTTTATCTATGGATTCTTGTAATATTAGAAATTAAAATATAAAATTTAAAATATATATTTATTAATTTATTTTAAAATATGAACATAAATATAATTTCTTATGAAAAATGACTATTTTCCAAAAGAAGGAATAGTGGTGGTGGTTTATATTTTTGCAAACCTCTTAAATGTTTAGCTTACTACAGAACAGATGGATTCTAGTCGGCTTTAACATTTAATCTGTTATAATATGGTTGAAGTGTGTGAAGAATATTCAGTCTCACACAGATATGTAGTTGGAAAAAGGTAGAAATATCTTAATAGCCCTTTTAGATAATTGTAGCTATTTTAATTTGATACTATACTGAAACTATATAAGGTATAGTTTTTCAAAAGCTAGTTACAGTGTAGAATCTGAAACCATATCAATGCAGTTTTTGTACTTTGTAACATTAAAATTCATTCCTCTGTCTTGCCTTTTGAGTCCATCTTTCCTGTGCCTGATTTTGGAATATTATGTTACAAATGAGGAAAATATTGGTTCACTGACTTATACAAACCTCTCAAATACTGACACATTTCATTGTGCAATACAAAAACAACCACATTTGTCAATATCACCATTAAGTATGAGGAAGTGTCAAGCTCATAGTAGTGGATACAAGTTTTTCAAAATTCTGAGCTTCATTCAAAAGTTTTAATTTTATCATTGGCAGCAAATTCTATCAGTTCTATTCTTTGAAGTGACAGGTTCTCTTTCTCCCCGTCTGAATAATTATGGTTTGCCTTTTCATTCACTCCAGTAAAAATGGTGTTTCATGGGGGAAGAAAGAAAAAAAGCAACTAGTTCAGTTTATAATTTAAACATAAAAAATGCTTTTCCATGTGATAATTATGTTATTCTTTGGAACACAGCAGAAGTGCTCCATATGTACTTCCCATTTTTCACACAGTCTTATTTCCCTTGTTATTACAAATGTTGCAAATATGGATATTCACATATAAATATCATGCATTTTTGCAAGAATTTCTCTGCTATATATTCCCAGGTGAGTTTTTTTTTTTTTTGGTAGACTACACACATGTTCAAATTTACTAGGTGACCCCAAACTATTTTCCAAAGTGATTATGCCAGTTCACCAGGGTTGGCGGTCTACCTCTTAGAAATGGACCAGGATGTGTACATGCATTAGATGTTTATGCTCAGTGTAATTCATTATGTATTTTTGAAATATTTAACTATTAATAAAGGATGTGTTTGACGTTGATGGCCTGAAGTGTATGGTTAAATAATGGAGTGTAGATTGTGTGTGTGTGTGTGTGTGTATTTTTTTTTTACACACACACGCACGTGCACACACACGCACGCACACGTTGTTAAAGGTAGTACCATGGCTATTTTATACATAATACATGGAATCAAGATGGTTTAGTGTAGTAAAATTAGAATACTTTTTATTAGGGAATAGGATCTTCTTCTAATCTTAATCCTTGTGTAAATCTTCAAAATTTTTTTTTTTTTTTTTTTTATCCTCATTCGAGGACATTTTTCCATTTTTCGTACAGACAGAGTGGGAGGGAGAGAGAGGAAGAGAGAGAGAGGGAAACATCGATGTGAAAGGGACACATCGAGTGACTGCCACCCGCACGACCAACCAGGGCCGGGGACAAACCGCAACCGAGGTACATGCCCTTAGCGGGAACCAAACCCGGATCTCTCCGGACCGCAGGCGGATGCTCTAACCGCTGAGCCAAACCGGCCAGGGCTCTTCAAAATTTTTTTTCCTCAAAGTATTTTCCATTTGCTCACCAGTAGAGCAAGTGCAGAGGTGCATTTACCTTTACTTATAGTCCTTGCTATCTGCCTCCCCGACTTCTCCTTACTCCATGTCCTTGGCAAACCATAATTGTTGACAGTGGTGATATCTAAGTGTTTTGAGTTTCGAAATCTCTATAGATGGTCTCTTGAAGGTTATTACGTAAAATGCCTTGGGAAGCTTTTGTGGATCACAGGCACCATCAAGGTAGATAGGTAGCACTATAATATATAATGAACAGAAAAATAATTGCTTTTGTGTTAATGTCAAGATTTTCAGCATTAGACCAGTGTTTTGTACTTACTGGCTTTGAACATTTAAAAACAAAAGGGCAATATTGAAGAAACTTTTTTAGGGTTTTTTTTTTTATCCTCTCCCAAGGACATTTTTTTGTTTTTTGTTCAGATAGAGTCGGATGGGGAGAGAGGGAGAGAGAGGGAGGGAGAGAGAAACATCGATGTGAAAGGGACACATCGAGTGGCTGCCACCCGCATGACCCAATCAGGGCCGGGGACAAACTGCAACCGCGGTACGTGCCCTTAGCGGTAACTGAACCTGGGTCTCTCTGGACCGCAGGCCGACGCTCAAACTGCTGAGCCAAACCGGCCAGGGCTTAGTTTTTAATAAGGATCATATTCTGACATTTAAGCAAAATTCTGCAGCTTGATTTTAATTATTTCCATATAAATTTTGAGCAAAATTATATGCTTATTTAAAGCTACCAATATAATATAGGTCACTGTAAGAGACTGAATTATTTTTTGATTCTCATCTCTCACCCCTTTTCCATCCTTCATTGTTCTCCTCTTTCCAACAGTCCCAGTATTAAGGTGCTTACAGGCCAGGCAAGAGCCAGATGTGGCAAGTAGTTATATTGCTTGTTTTACCACTGTGTTGCAAAGTGGTATATTGATATCAACAGTATAGTACAGTGGTCAAAGGCATTTAAATCTCAGCTTTGCCACTGACTGGCTGTGACACTCAACCTCTCAAAGTCTTTCCTCTTCTGCTAAGAAGTACTGTTATATCCATTTGCCTCTTAGGATTGATATGAGTATTTTAAAAAATTAATAGTGCTTAGACCAGTTTATGGTATTTAAATAAGCACCTCAGTGAAGGTTTATTTTTGTTTTTATTGGTAAGTGTTGTGATACAGAACTGGGTCAGGACCAAGGTGGGAGTTTTTCTAACTTTCTGCCTAGACATAATGTTTTAAATTAGTCTTTAAGGATTTTAAAGAGCATTTTACATGGCACAAGGTTAATGACATTTTATTTTGAGAGCTAGATATACAAGAGGTATGGGGAAATGTAATGTAAGAGCACAAAATATGAGATGTTGGAGAGCTACAAGTAGGTCAGTTTATTCTTTCTCACCAAATTGTTTTGAGGAACAAATAAGATGAGACCCCTGAAACTACTTTGTAAGCTATTAAGCATGTACAAAAATGCAATTTTTTTTTTTTTTGCATTCATTCGCATTACCTGGGCAAGTAACAAGTGAATAATGGAGCCTAAAACAGGGAAATTGACTCTGTAAGAAAACATGTTGCAAGAACAATTGGTAAAAAAATCAAAAGAGGACTAGACATTTACAAGGAAAGAATTTTACTTACCCAAATGATAATTATGTTATGGGTTAGGCTTAACATTCATTTTATAATTTAAACTTGAATAGGATATATTTTGGAAAGCACAATTTGACTCGTTGAGGATCTAAATTGTGTTGTGAAAAATTTATTGGACTTAAAATCATAATATGTGACTCTTCCACTTGGCCAAGTCATATTGGGCTCTTTCAACTGTAGCTTCCTTGCCTGTAGAATGGGGATATAATAATATCTATCTCATATTGTATTGTAAGAACTAATATGGAGAAGTGTATATGCTATTATTATTTCCTTTAATGGATTCTACTGTACTTTAAAAAAAATCAATCTTCAAAAACCATGTATTCACTGTATTGTTTTGCTTCAGATTCTATGGGAAAACCATAATAAGAATGAACAGTTTTTAGTGTTAAATATATTTAGCCTTTTTTTGCATGTAAAAACTATACAGTGTAAGTGGATTAGGTTCTTACAAAAGAACGTGGTTTAGGTTCTTTTAAAGAAAATGTAATTATCCCACCTAAGAAATAAAGCAGGTAGATTTTGATTAATTTTTTTAGGACAAGTGAATTTTAAACAATCGACAGTTGTTACATATTTTTGCTTCTTAAAGAATGAAGATGTCTGAGGGGTCCTTTATTTATAGAACTGGTGGGATTTCTTGGTCACTTTATAAGTAAGCCCGTGGGGAAGAAGAATAACTTATTACAAGCCTTAATTTTTGTAGCATGTTTTAAAATTATATCTTGCTCAAGTTCTAAGTATTTGTGAGCATGGTTGCATTCATGAAATTTAATAATTTAGAATTTTCTATAAAATGATCCAACACATTTATAGATCAATGAATAGATTTAACAGCCTACAAATTCTAAAATAAATGTTATTTTCTTAAAAAAGAAAATGTAAAATTATGTCAAGAAAGATTTGCAGTTACTAGTAACACACAGAAATGTTTATGAAAAGGATTTTTCTAACATATAGTTTGACTTAAAAGTATTATTTTTTCCTCTAGTTTTTGGCTTCCCTACCTCTTATTTCTATTTCTGTTGATTGGTCAAGGCACACATCTTTTGGCTAATATTGTTGCGAGTTTCTGGTTGCTCTTCTTACTGTTAAGGTTTTTCCCACCTTGTCTCATATATGTATATGCTTCTGTCATCTTTTTGGACACTGCTTTTTTCTACAGTATATTCCTCCTTGATAATTTGCATTAATGCACTTCTTCTTAGATAAGTTACTGCTGTATTTCCCTCTTTGGTGCCTAGATTTATACTCCCCTTGAGGTAATCGTGTTTACTGTTTCCCCACATGCAACTTGTTTTGTCTGTCCATTCTGTCTTTTTATATGTTTATGTCTTTTTGTATAGAGCAGACGGCATGAGTCATGTGTATCTATTACTAACTTCTCTCACCACTTTACCAAGCTCACACTTTATTTTTTTGGTGATCGGAACTTACTAGTTAGCTTCACCTTACTGTGCTTATTTTATTTTTAAAAAAATTATGCACTTAAGAAACTTGACACAAGTTTTGTAGTAATCTGTATTTGCTTGCACATTGCTTTAACTTTCTTAGAAAAGTATTTTTTTAAATGTGCGTGTTTCATTTAGATTATAGTCATATAGATTAAAGGCCAGAGGCTTTGATTGTCCCCTATGATTTCTGTATTATTTTCTTCTAGCACACTGAATATAAAAACTGAGTAAAATAAATGTCTAGGGATCGACTCTCCAGGTGCTTATAGTGGCTTCTTATTGTGGCTCTTTCTTACACAGTTGAGTCAAAATTCTAATTCATATTTCATGTGTAAGTGTGTTGACTTAAAATATTCAATATTGTTAACAACTCCACTGACACCAGACTTTGACATTTGATTAGTGTTGTTATTCGTATTTTTTTTTTTTTTTTTTTATCCTCACCCGAGGATATTTTTCCATTTTTTGTACAGATAGAGTGGGAGGGAGAGAGAGGAAGGGAGAGACAGACAGAAACATCGACGTGAAGGGACACATCAAGTGGCTGCCACCCTCACGACCAACCAGGGCCGGGGACAAACTGCAACCGAAGTACGTGCCCTTAGCGGGAACCGAACCCGGGTCTCGCCAGACCGCAGGCCAACGCTCTAACCGCTGAGCCAAACTGGCCAGGGCTGTTATTCGTATTTTTGATTGGTGGTATCATTTTTATAGTTTATACTTGATAGTATTAAATGAAATAACAAAATATAAAGCAGGTGATATTTTTATATCACTATTTTAATATATTTAGAAATCTGAATTGGTCTTAAACTCCTGATTCTTAAAAAATGGTTCTTATCAAGAAGAACAAAAATAAGGAATGAGTAAATCAGGCATACTAGAGCAATGAATGGTAGTATTATGCTGATAAAACACTTATCAACTATGAAACTGCAAAGCCAGAACTCAGAATTTCTATAGTATATTGTTATTCAAGATACTTTTGATGCTAGAAGGGTAGTTTTATTATTATTATTATTATTTTTATTTTTTTTCCATTTTTTGTTCAGATAGAGTGGGAGGGAGAGACAGGAAGAGAGAGAGAGAGAAACATCGACGTGAAAGGGACACATCAAGTGGTTGCCACCCACACGACCAACTAGGGTCGGGGACAAACTGCAACCGAGGTATGTGCCCTTAGCGGGAACCGAACCTGGGTCTCTCTGGACCGCAGACCGACGCTCTGACTGCTGAGCCAAACTGTCCAGGGCTTATTTGTTAACTCAAATATAAACTTACCCTAACCAATCTAGTAGATTTTAGGGTTTTTATTTTATGTCAAAATTTTGTTGATAATTCTTAAATTATATTAAAGGGTTTAGTAAAGTGGACCTATAGTAAAATCATGTTACTATGTAATAATTTAATTCTTCTTAATTAGAATATTTTTTCTGTTTTTGTATTGTAATATTGACTAAAATATTTACTAGGAGATGATACAGCTGTATAAATTATTTGAATAATTAGAATAATTAAAAATATTAGAAAAGGAAATAAATCATTGACTTGATATTTCAGACCTTGACTGAAAAATTGCTGAAGAAAGAACTCGACTATACTCAGCTAGAAGAGAAACATAATGAGGAATGTGTGAGTAAAAAGAATATACAAGCAAGCCTTCATCAAAAAGACCTAGATTGTCAACAGCTTCAGTCAAGATTATCTGCATCGGAAACCTCATTGCAGAGAATACAGGCAGAATTAGGCGAAAAGGGAGAAGCTACTCAAAAACTCAAAGAAGAATTATCAGAAGTAGAGACTAAGTACCAGCACCTTAAGGCAGAGTTTAAACAGCTCCAACAACAGAGAGAAGAGAAAGAGCAGCATGGGTTGCAACTACAAAGTGAAATTAATCAGGTAAGAGATGTGACTTGTGTTTATTGCAATACCTCCTATGGTTTCTTCTTAATGCCCGATGGTTATTTGATCATAATATAGTTCATTAAAAAATTCTCATTTTAAAAAATTAACTTTTAATTTTCACAACTGTACTATTGTGTCAGATCTCATTTCCTTTCATTTTAATTTCCTTTAAAAGGAGGAAAAAATGATATTATCTATCATATAGTAATGTTGTGACGTGTTTATGACTTAATACATATAATTGCTTAGGATGGTACCTGGCTCATGGTAGGTACTCTCAGCAGGTATTAGCTTTTGTAATTAATTCAAATTGTTGACCATTCTTTAATTTAAAATATTTTTTTCTCACTAAAATTTTAAAATATAATTATTTTTACACCAATAATATAAAACTTAGATATTTTAAAAGAAGAAAACGTATTAGTCCTAACAGCTATTTCTTATAAATAATGTCTGTCAGATGAAGTTTAATACAAGTTTTGACTTTGCCATTAACTTAATTTTTAAATTATGTATTCTAGTTATTTCTTATAGATAATATTAAAAGTTGATTGAAAAATGGAAATTTTGGGGGGAACAAAGTCCTCAGCCAGTTTTTTGCTGATGTTCATTTTCACTTAAATGGTAGTGATACTTGTTTTGTGGCATCAATTTTTCTGTCTTCTTGGCTTGAGATATTCTTCCTATTCTTCTTCTACTTGGTAAATAATACTTATTTCACTTGTTACTTTTCTAAAAATCTGTTTCTGAACAATGCCACTTCTAAGCTCCCCCAAAAGATGGCTTAAACGTGTACATATCTTGATTGTTTTACTCGCCACAGTATTGTTATATTACCATACGTTTTTCTTCACTAGACTCTGAACTCTTTGGGTACAAAGACCATGTCTTACTCATTTTTTTTATCTTCACTACCTGGCACATTGCTTGTTTATCAGCACATGTTTTAGTGAATAAATAAATATAGGCATTCATAATGGAAAGAAACAGAGGCTTGGGAATATCAGTGAATAACTTAAAAATAGCTTAGATATTTGACTTTCATTTCAGATAAACTAATTGGGCATTTATGGTTTCTAAAAGATGCCATGCCTTATTGTTAGGAGATACAGAAATGGAAAAGGATACATTACCTACTATAAATAAGTATGTAAACGTCATCGAGGATAAGGCTAGTACTATCATTTACTAAAGAACATGAGAATTATAATAAAATTATCGCATATGCTGTGAGAATTTGGGGGAGTTCCTCTCCTGTTTCCCTCCCCCCCTAGTATTTCATATTATGTAATTATTTAGTCCAGTTATGTGGTCAGAACAAGCTTTGTATAAGAGAGAAGTGGTGCTTGAAATTGTGAGCAGTGGATAGGTTTTGGCCAGTAGAGTTCAAAGGCAGGAGGGGCTTCCTGGCAGAAGGATTAGTGAGAGTCAACTAGTGGCAGGAAAGTATTGTAAGAACCAGGAAGGGGCACTGATTTGCTCTTAGAATAAGATATGTGTAATTGGAGTTGGACTATTGTGGAAGAGTATTTGGGACTTATATGTAGGGTCTGGAAAAGCAGGCTGAGAAATTTGGGCTTTATTTGGTTGTCAGTATATGGAAGGGCATTAGGAATTTTTGAGAACCTAATCAAGCATATTTTTATACGAAGACTTGAGTATGTGATTATTGGGCTTGATCACAGTTCTGTACAAAATAAAGAGGTCATATTGAAGACCTTGAAGTGATACCATTTATCTTCTTTCTTTCAGCATGCTGTCTGGATTCTACCATCAAAGTATGTTTCAAATCTGTCCACTTCTTTTCATCTACACTGCTACCACCCTTAACCTAAGTCTCCATCATGCTGACCTGGGCTACTGTACTAGCCTTCTTACAAGTTTTTCTTCTTCTAGTGACCTTGATCTGTTCTCCACACTGAAGCCAGAGACATCTTTTTAAAACATGAAGGATACCACTATTCTTCTGCTTAACCCTGCTATTTGCATTACACTTTGAATTGAAACCAAATGTCTTAATTTGGTATGTAAGCCTCTGAATGTAGTATGGCCCACACCGTGTCTTCAAATGTATCTCCTACCACCGTGAAGCCATGCTGGTCTTCTTTCCGTTCCTCAGACACACCAGCACTTAAAGTGCTTTCCTGCCTTAGGTCCTCTGCCTGTGTTTTCTTCTTAGTGTGCTCTTGACTGCAGTTCTTCACAAGGCTGGCTCAAGTGTCATTTTCCAAATAAAGCCTTCTGGGACTATCCTATTTGAATAGGTTGTTTCCCATATAGTGTGACCTCTTCTTTATTTCAGCAAGCTTCTTCTTTCTTATTCTTTATAACACTTTATGTTGTATATTAGTTTTTTGTTTACTTCTATGTTGTCTACAATTCCCATTGGACTCTGAGCTTCTTAATGTGAGGAATTCATTTTATTCTGTACTCTATCCACCTCTATACTTAAAGCTTTCAGTAACTATTTGTTGGAAGAACGGAAGTGAACCTCACCTTAAACATTTTTTTCAATATCCTTAAAGTGTATAGGCATGAACTGGGTTTGTTTTGCTCTCCACTGTATCATATTCAGCATTCATTTCAGTGCTGACAAAATTAGTTGGCAATTGTCAACAAAGAAACAAAGTAACCTATATTCTTCATATTTGTGTTTATGAACACTTCTAAAATAGCCACAGATGTGCAGATAATGATTTGTTACTTAATTAAGAGATTAGATGTCATCAATTTTACTTTTAAAAATGATCACACATGCCATCTTGAATAGCATAGTGGTTTATCTGTGGATTTAAGAACCAACTGCGCAAGTTCTAGTTCTGTAGCCCACAAATTGTGTGATCTCAGGCAAGTTATTTAATTTGTACTTCATTTTGCTCATCTATAATATGAGGATAATAATGGAACTGTCTTTATAGGGTTATCATAAAGATTAAATTAGTTACTACTTGTGAAGCTTGTAAAATAGGGCTTGGCACATAGTAAGCATTATTAGAAATATAACAAATAAAGAATTATGTGTAGCCCTGGCTGGTTTGGCTCAGTAGTTAGAGCATCAGCTTGTGAACTAAAGGGTTGTGGGTGCGATTCCCAGTCAGGGGCATGTACCTGGGTTGCACGTTTGATCCCTGGCCCTGTTCGGGGTTGTGCAGGAGGTGACCAATCAATGTGTCTCACATTAGTGTTTCTTTCTCTCTTCCACTTTATCTAAAAATCAATGGAAAAATATTCTCATGTGAGGATTAACAACAACAAAATGATGTAAATTTACAAAAGTGAATTTACTAAAGAACATATACATATATGTATATATCTCAAAATGGGGCTTTAAGGTGGGCCAGTCTATTAATAATTTCAGTGTGTATATTTTTACTTTTTTTTTTTCTTTATTGATTTGAGAGAGAGAAAGGGAGAGGGAGAAAGAGAGATATAAACGATAGAGATAGAGATTGATGAGAGAGTACATTGATTGGCCGCTTCCTGCATGCCCCCCACTGGGGTTGGGCCCACAACCTGGGCATGTGCCCTGACTGGGAATCGAACCGGTGACCTCTTGGTGCATGGGTCGATGCTCAGCCACTGAACTGCACCACCAGACTATTATTTTTACTTTATAAAAAATATTTTTTAGCCCTGGCTGGTTTGGTTCAGTGGTTGGAACCTTGGCCTGTGGACCACAGAGTCCTGGGTTTGGTTCCTGCTAGTGGCACGTACCAAAAAATATATATATGTGTGTGTGTATATATATACACACACACACACACACACACACACACACATATATATTTTAATTTTTTAGTTGATGTACAATATTATATTAGCTTCAGGTGTACAACCAAGTAATTAAACATTTATATAACTTGTTAAATGATTACCCTGATAAATCTAGTACCCCTCTGACACTATAGAAATCTCCTTTCTAATTTCTAAACAATTATGGGAAGTACTTTAACAAAAATCTAAGAATATGGCCACACATGGCCAATAACAGGGTGCAAGCGGAGACCCCCCAGGGGCCTGGCCTGTAATGAGAGGTGGGGGGAGCCCACTGTCAGCAGTGGAGAATGACATCTAGAGAAGATGGCTGCCACTCAGACCCACACAGCTGTCTGTGTGGGAGTGAAAGCTCAGGCTGCCAGACCTTCTGATACTTCCAAAGATGAAGAGACAGCTTTTTATGTGGAGTTTCTCAAGTTTTACATGTTGGTACCTTATTTAAAACAAAGCAAAAATAACAAATCCCAGCATGGGCCAAAGATACTGAGTCTATGGCAACCCCTGCTCCCAGCTGAGACATGTGGGAAATATCTGTCTTTATAGCACCCCTCATTTTATTTTTATTTTTATTTTTTTTTAATTTTTTTTTTTTATCCTCACCCGAGGACATTTTTAAATTTTTTGTTCAGGTAGAGTGGGAGGGAGAGAGAGGAACAGAGAGAGAGAGAGAAACATTGATGTGAAAGGAACACATCGAGTGGCTGCCACCCGCACAACCGACCAGGGCCGGGGACAAACTGCAACCGAGGTACGTGCCCTTAGCGGGAACCGAACCCGGGTCTCTCTGGACCGCAGGCCGATGCTCTAACTGCTGAGCCAAACCGGCCAGGGCAGCACCCCTCATTGTATTGCACTTCACAGATACTATGTTTACATCAACATTGAGGCAAGACCCTCCATCAGTAAAGCATTACAGCTCTCTGTAGTCTCAGAGAGTTAGCATCTTTAGCAATAAAGTATTTTTTAATTAAAGTATATACATTGTTTTTTTTAGACATAATACTATGGCTTACTTAATAGACTACAGTATAGTGTAAACCTGACTTTTATTTGTGTTGTGAAACCAAAAAATTCGTGTGACTGATTTTATTGCAGTGCTCTGGAACCAAACCAGCAGTAATGCTGAGGTACCTGTGTATGGATCGGTTAGAGCAGCGGTTAAGAGCATTGACTGTGGAGTTATTTGGACCTACATTTTAATCACTCACACACTTTGT